TGCTTCCCCTCTCATCATGTGACCTCTTTCACATACAGTACTCACTACTTTTGCACCTGCTCCCACTATATGATGCCAGCGGCTACTTTGTGTTGCATCATGTAACCCACATAGGAATTGGTCACCCCGTCTCGTCTCCAGAACCGTGAGCTATTAACCTCTTTTCTTTATAAATTATTGAGCCTCTGATACATATTAAGGCAACAGAAAATGAACCAGCACAACAGATTTACTGGGAAAATGCAGAGTTCTTACTGTCTGTCCCTCATGGACAGTCTGGTAATTAGCTAACTTTTTGACTCCTATCTAGGAGGCAGGTAGGGGCCACCTGGTTGTCCCTGCTTTGCAAAATAACTTGTTACTTTTCATTTTGGATTCCCTTTAATCTTAGATGTGGATTGATATGTTTGTTTGTTTTTTTTGGTACATATGTTTTCTGGTTGTAAAAAGGCCTTTTTTCTGCATATGCCTACACCCTTATTTCTTTCCAGCTTTTTTCCCTGAGAAACAGTTTGTGGAAATTAATGGCATGTGTTCTGCCATTCTATGTGTTGCAGACATCACAGTGCTTTCTTCCTTCAAGAGTAGACTGGGCTTAGTTTCTTCACAGCAGGAATTCACCCTCACAAATTTAATGTGGGCATCCTTGTTGATTTGGACAGGTTTGGGACTCAGGGTTTGATCAGGTAATTGTTCAAGCAGTTACAGACAAATTACAGGCACGCATACAGGCCTCCTTAGGCTCACTTTGAAACTGTGACCCTGTCAGGCTATGAACTCCATCTCTCCACAGGATGGCGGTGTTGTACACAAAGGTGAGCGGCAACTGTCACTGCAGGTCGAAGTGACACCTGCCACCGACTGACTGGGGAGGGAAGTCCTTTGGCCTAAGGGATACTTTCTTCTGCATCCCACTAAACCCAGAACCTGGGAAAGTGAGGGTACAAAATTTCCCAAACAAAAGCTCAGGTTTCTAAGCAAGAGGTTAGATTACCTGGGATATGTTCTAACCTCAGGAAAGCATGCTTGTTCAGAAAAGAGAAAGGAAGCTATTCCATGTACAGGATCACCACAGACTAAAAAGCAGTTAGGGACATTTCTGGAAATGACAGGATTCTGTGGAATACGGATTCCAGGATTTGCATTCTAAGCTTTTGTGTGAAGCTTTAAAAACCACTGACACAGGCACATTGTGCTGCACAGGGGAGCTACAAAAGTTGTTCCAAAGAATAAGGAGCTTTTAACAGAAGCTCCAACATTGGGAATCCCTGATGGCAGGATTCTATGGAATATGGATTCCAGGATTTGGATTCCAAGTCTTTGTATAACTCTTTAAAAGGCTCTGACACAGATACACTGTGTTAGACATGGAAGCTACAAAATATGTTCCAAGGAATTAAGGAGCTTTTATCAAGCTGCAACATTGGGAATTCCTGAGCAAGCAATTCACAGAAAGATCCTCTTCAGATCAGTTACAGCTTAAATAGAAGGGACCTGACCAGGTGCTACTGAGCGTGACCACCTCAGTGAAATTAGGATTAAAACTTTTACCTCTAAAATCTTCACAGGTGAACTCAAAAGCCATGCCTGATTATTCCTGTGATCCAATTGAGATCTTAAATACCTCTTCAAAAAAAGCGAAAAGATAACTAATGCTTTTGCTTTCATCACTTCAAGACTGCTGCACTTAAGACAGACCTACTGTACCTGCCTCTCCTTTGGTTCTTTCTGGGAGCTGTTAGTGACAATAGAACTACTTAATAGGTTTTTCTATTACAAATCTCTATGCTCAGGATAAATGGTTTTATAATCTACATAAAGGTAGCTTATTGCCACCCACTATCTGGGAGTTGGTGAGATTTTTTTTTGAAACTTTTTATTTAATGTGTCCAAATTTCATAAGTACAACTTTAGGAATATAGTGGTTCTTCCCCCCTCCATACCCTCCCTCCCACCCCCACTCCTATCACACACCTTCCTCCCTCTCCCATTCCATTCTTCATTAAGATTCGTTTTTAATTAACTTTATATACAGAAGACAAACTCTATACAAAGTAAAGGTTTCAACAGTTTGTATCCACCCTCCCCCAACAAAATATAAAGAATTGTTTGAGAACTAGTTTTACAGTTAATTCTCACAGTACAACTCATTTAGGACAGAGGTGCTGCATGAGGAGTAAGGGCACAGTGAATCCTGTTGTTAATTTAACAATTAACACTAATGTCTGGCATCAGTGATCAGCCGTGGCTCTCAACATGAGCTGCCAAAGCTATGGAAGCTTTTTGAGTCCACAATCTCTGTCAGTATTTATACAGCAATAAGCAAAGTTGAAGTCCTCCCCACTCTTCAGAGAAAAATACATCCTTCTGGTGGTCCCTTTTTTTCCCCCCCGGTGTCTTAATCACAGGGAAGGCAAATCATTACATTTAAATAGTGCTAAGAAAAAAGCCACAGCGCTTGCGACTTTTCTATGCCTGAAATGCTCTTATGGGCTTTTCAGACAGACCAGAATGCTTTAAGGAAGGGCTGATTCTGAGGTCAGAGTACAGTTTAGGGTGTTTGTCATTCTATGAGTCTGCTCTGTGAACTGCTTCCCGTGTTGGAACAGTCTCTCCTTTTTAATTCTATCTATTGTTATTACCAGACACTTGTTCTTAGTTTTGGATCCCTTTAACACTTAATCCTAAATATATGACCAGTTACACACTTAATATGGTCACTTCAACACATAAAATGGCATTAGTACCACTGAGCTTAACAGGATTTGGAATCCCATGGCAAGGTTTTAGCTTTACCCTTAGGGGTAAGTCCTTGGGAATGTGTCCTGAACTGCGAAGCTCCTCTCTCTCTTATTCCCACTCTTATTTTTTACTGGGATCTATTTTTAATTGCCTTTATACACATATGACTAATTCTATGTAAAGAGTTCAACCAATGGTATTAAGGAAAAAATAAAAATTAAAAAAGTGTTCTGCAACAGTCAAGATAAGGGCTGTTCAAGTCATTGCTTCTCATAATGTCAATTTCACTTCTGCAGGTTTCCTTTTAGGTGCTTTGTTAGTTATCACAGATCAGGGAGAACATATGGTATTTGTCCCTTTGGGACTGGCTTATTTCACTAAGTATGATGTTTTCAAGATTCATCCATTTTGTTGCAAATGACTGGATTTCTTTTTTTTTACTGCTGTGTAGTATTCCATAGTGTACATATCTCGCAATTTCTTTATCCATGTCTTAGCTATTGTGAATTGAGCTGCTATAAACATGGAGGTGCAGATAACTCTTTTGCTTACTGATTTCATTTACCTTGGGTAAATTCCCAGGAGTGAGATGACTAGGTAGTATGGTAGGTCTATATTCAGATTTTTGAGGAATCTCCATACTGTCTTCCATAGTGGCTTTACCAGTTTACATTCCCACCAACAGTGGATTAGGGTACCTTTTTCTCCACATCCTCGCCAGCATCTGTTGTTTGTTGATTTCTGTATGAAAGCCAATTCTGACTAGGGTGAGGTGAAACCTCATTGTTGTTTTGATTTGCATTTCCTTGACAGCCAGTGATCCTGAGCATTTTTTCATGTGTCTGTTGGCCATTTGGATTTCATCTTTTGAAAAACATCTGTGTAAGTTCTTCGCCCATTTCTTCACTGGGTTGTTTGGTTGGTTGGTGTGGAGTTTCTTGATCTCTTTATATAGTCTGGTGATTAATCCTTTATAAGTTGCATGGATTGCAGATAATTTCTCCCAATCTGTTGGTTGCCTATTCACTTTCCTGACTGTTTCTTTTGCAGTACAGAAGTTTCTCAATTTGATTTAATTTCATTTGTGAATTTTGGCTTTGATTGCCTGTGCTTCTGAGTTCTTTTCCAGGAACTCTTTGCCTGTGCCAATGTCTTGCAGGGTTTCCTCAATGTTCTCTAATAATTTGAAGTTTATCAAGGAAGCAAAACCTGGGCTAGTGGTAGATAAGGATTTCTCAGCCAATATATATAGGATGTGTTACAGACAAAGCCTTTTCATCCCCTCCTCTACACTTGGGATGAATGCTTAAGAATAGGTTAGGCCGGCCGGCACTGCAGCTCACTAGGCTAATCCTCCGCCTTGCAGCACCGGCACACCGGGTTCTAGTCCCGGTCAGGGCGCCGGATTCTGTCCCGGTTGCCCCTCTTCCAGGCCAGCTCTCTGCTGTGGCCTGGGAGTGCAGTGGAGGATGGCCCAGGTGCTTGGGCCCTGCACCCCATGGGAGACCAGGAGAAGCACCTGGCTCCTGCCATCAGATCAGCGTGGTGCGCCGGCCGCAGCGTGCTGGCCGCAGCGGCCATTGGAGGGTGAACCAACGGCAAAAGGAAGACCTTTCTCTCTGTCTCTCTCTCTCACTGTCCACTCTGCCTGTCAAAAAAAAAAAAAAAAAAAAAAAAGAATAGGTCAAATAACGTCCAAAACCAAATTTAAATAGTTTGCAACAGAAAGACCTAAAAGATAATGGTGGGGCACAAAGGTGTGATTTTCAAAATAATTTGGAAACATTGATTTATATGGTATCTATTGAGGCATACTAATGGCCATCTATATGTATATAAAAACAACTATATGTATATGCTATACTATATACTGTATATATAGTTAATTTAAGAACTAATTGGGTAGTTACAAAAGAGTACAATAGAAGGGAGAGTCAATAACAGGATTGCCCTATCTAAGTGACTTGGACTTGGGGAGGAAAATTGAACAATTGGCCAAAAGGAGCTTTAGGCTTATCTGTATATTTGAGTTAGGGCACTGTCTTCACATTCATCCAAAAGAGGGTGAATATATGTATATGTATATGTATATGTATATGTATATACATGCATGTGTATATACGTAAATAGCTGAAAAGTGCTTCAAGTCTGTCATCAATGAGTAGAGATTATTGATTTAATCGGAGACAAGAAGTTTCATGAGTCTGAGAAACATAATAGAGAAAGGATAACAACAGCAGGGTCTCGTTCTTTGTGGGCTCAATCCTCTATTTATTTATTTTCTATCTCCATGTGGTCACATAAACTGTATTTGCACACATCAACAGAACATAACACCAGTGACAGGACAATATCATTGATATCCCAGAGTTGCCAAGATCTAAAAACAATGGAGTTTCATTCTGTTGTTAGGAGACATGTTCCGGCTGTTTTCTCCTCCTTAAAGTCTTTCAAAGGTGCAACCAGTACCCTGTTTTCAGTCAGTTGATGTCAGTAATGAAAACGGTGGTTTTGTTTGGTCCTCCAAGCACTGCACCCACAGGCATGTGAAGAAGGAGTTCAAACCTCTCTGGACCCTCCAAAATGGGCTGTGCCACGTCGTCAAGGATTGTCACTTGGAATGCCTGCATGCCCACTCCTGGGGCAAAGTCCAGATTTCTGTTGATGCCAATGTAATCTATTCCAGCTGGTGGGAAGGGAAAAGGCACTGGTGAGACTGAGATTCACAGTTATAACTCTCCCCTCAGAGAAAAATAAGAGGTCCCATCAAGTCTGCAGCAGTCTCCCTTGCACTCAGCACTTTAGAATCATGGACTGGATCCCACCGAAGGGCAACTTCCATATCTTACCAATGCCACATGCTCCCTCATCCCAAGCTCTTATGCCATCCTCCCCTGTGCCCTCCACGTCTGCCTCCGGCACATCTCCTTCCCAGCACTGCCACAGAGGCCCCTGATTTTATACTGAAGGCTCTCTGAAGGTGGCTTCAATTTGAAAGAAAAGGATTTGCCTTTTTAATTTTTAACCTTAACTATAATGGCCATGAGTTTTGTTTTGACTAGGTTTCACGTATCCACCTTTGCCAGATATCTGATTTAATCTGACAACTTACACCCAGCCAGAAAGTTTCTGCAGTTCTCTGCCTTGCTCTCAAGCATGTTTTGCAGGCTGACCATAAAGCTTCTTTGCTTCTTATTTGAAAAGTCATCAAATGTAATGATAGCAATAAATGATAACTGGTGGAATAAAATAGAAATCCTGGAGTGACATAAATAATATAAGATAACCCGAGGAACAGACTATTTGCATCATTTCTAGGTATTTCTTCATAAAATACTTATTAATTGTAAAGGAAAAGAAGTAACATCTTTATGGAGAAGCTTCATTGTAGGCAGATACTATCTTAACCAGTAATCAAAGTTAATAGCACCAGTAATGGGCTAAGTGGAGATTGTCTGCCTTTTGATAGAATATAAGAACACACTATTATCTATATGATATTTCTACAAATATCATAAATGACCCTCTCTGAAAATTAAAAAAAGAAAGGGAAGAAACTGAGAAAAGGAACTAGTAATGATTAGTTCTGGTTGCATATACAATGCACTGCGATACATTCACTGATAGCATATAATGTGCCCATTCTTCCAAGAGAAAGCTGTCTTTATTTTCTATAACTTTCTGGGTACATGAGGAAGTACGGCTCACATTTTCATAAATAAATGTGCATTTTTCTCTATCCCTCATCAGTTACTGAGGTTTTTGGGTGGTGGGGTAAAATTCACAGTCTTTGCTTGTAGGTTGAAAGAGTCTCATGGATTTTGAATGTATATGACACTAGACATGAATTATTCTTGAGTCCAAAAGATCCCAGGTGCAAACGAGAAAATGTAAGTATCAGTGTCAGGGGAGGTGTCCCTTTTTTAAACCAAGTGACAGAGTTAGGAGAGGAAGTGATGTCCAGGATCATCTGGCCTGGCTGCCAGCAGGCCTCCATCGTCCATATCAGGAAACAGACACTAGTGGGATACGAGGATATACTGCTTGATGCCAAGGAAAATACTTGGGTCAAAATTAAAGAAACTTCCTACCCTTTGAAGGCTGAATTCTTTTAGGACTTAGGACTTGCTCAGCCATCTTGGATTACTTTCATCTGAAACAGCATTTATGAGTAACTTAAGGTGTCTATAGATATTCTGAGCTTTGGAAAATTAATTTGAGTCCTTGACAAGCAAGTGGGTGATGAATGAATAGTAAAGGCTCCTGTCTGCCTATTCTATTTGTCTTGTAAACAGCAGAAGTCATTACATATACTAACTGTCTATGTGCTTAGGTAGAAGGACCTTTAAGCCAGATCCCATCAACTAAGACCAGGCATGCTTACAACTTGACAGTCTAGACCCCACCACAACTATACATCATGACAATAATCTCTTCTATAAATGATCTCTTCTCTCACCTTCTGCTGAATCCTTCCCTGTCTTCCTGGAGTGCACGGTAACAGATGAGGCTTGGGAAAGATCAGTGCCTTTTCTCCAGACACACACCTCCACATAGCCAGCACGTTCATCGACATGATACTCAGCATGACCAAAGTGCAGGACAGGTTCTAGGGAGACAAGGAATCACAAACAGAATGCTTCAGCCTCCCAGACATACTCTACAGTGGGATCCTGAGTGTTTTCACCATTGCTGGACTTGACAGACACCACACATTCTGTTCCATGTATAGCTCAGGTGAACAAACCCAAACCACACAAAAAGCCAAGACAAAGAATCACATGCCATGACTTTGACCCCAGGAAGTGCTATAAGATACCATCAGTTGGAATTGTCTCCATTTTCCTGTTGTAAGAGCTGTCTGTGGTATAGAAGAAGCTGCCATTTGAGAAAAGAGGATGGGAAATGTAGGGATGTTTTTCTTCAGGAGAAAACGTCTCTTTCTGTTGAGTGACAGTCAAGCCAGGGTTCTGAATTCAAGGACCACTGTGGTGCCTTTTCTCAGGGCTTTTGCTGATCACAGGGAGACAGGAATCCCAGTGGGGAGGTGGGATCCTGTGAGCTGAGATGCCAGAAATGGTCCCTTGAGGGTCAGGGAAGTGGCTTCCTGGATGGCAGTGCTGAAGGGATCAGGATGTACGCCAGGCTTCAGGGAGAATGGGAGGGAAATGTGCATCTTCTACAAGGAGTAACATGTTGACAATGAGAACATGAAGATTTGGCCAAGCAATAAAGCTATCTATACCTGGTTCACTTTGCTCTGAAAAGTAGCCTGTGGTCTTAGCTGACTATTTAAAACACAAGGTGTTGCTATTACTCTAGACATACTCTGCCACAAAAGGGGTTTTGAGATGGATGCGTTTCATTTGAACTGAGACATCTGGAGACAAAAAACAGTAAACATCAGGAAGCAGTTTCACCACAGAGAAAAGATCCCCTGGTACCATCAAATGGAACATTAGTGATAGAGGTGACGACTTTGTAGACATAATGCAATGCAAAAGCATATCTGGATTAAAATAAAAAATTTAGAGGATAGAAGTCAGATTTAGTAAGTATTATTTTCTCAGAATATATTAGTAGGTATTTTATGCTGAGGAAAGTTTTTCTAAAAGTTTTACTATGGCATACAAGATTGCTTATAATCCGACCTGAGTTCATTATTTCCTGGAATCATCTGATACCATCATCCACTCTGTGCTCTGTGTCCCAGTTGCACCGAAGAGCTCACGATGCACCCAACATAGCATGCTTGAGCTTCTATCTTTGCTCACAACGGTCTCTGAGCTGGAACTCTACGCTTTTACTCCATCTACCTTTCACAGCACTTTATGATATTGATGTGACAATTTATACCTACTTTTGTGTATACATTAACATATTTTTAGTTAACACTGTTTTTAATACTTTTGCTTTTTCATGTTAATACTAGACTTAAAATATTTACTCACCAGTAGAATAATACCCTGTTTTGTATTTGTCTATATATTTACCTTTAGCAATGGGTTTTAGACTTTTTTTTATGCTGTTTACTCTCTTTTCATTTCAAGCTGAAGAACTCTCCTTATCATTCTTGTAAAGCAGATCTAATGGTGAACTCCCTTAGTTTTTGTTTGATGGGAGAGTCTTTCTTTTCTTGAAGGATAGTTTTGCTGGGTATAGTATTCTTAGTTTGTGGATTCTTTTAGCACTTTAAATATATGATCTCATTCTCTCTGGTCTTTACGATTTTTGCTAAAAAAAAACCCTACTGGCCATGTTATAGGGGATAGTATTTTTTTAATTATTTATTTATTTATTTGAAAGGGAGAGTTAAAGAGAGAGAGAGAGAAGGAGTAGGTATAGATTTATTTCTGGAGTTTTCTTTCTGTTCCATTGGTTGATATGTCTGTTTTTATGCCAGTATTATGCTGTCTTGATTATTATATGCTTGTAATATGTAGGTCACCTCCCAAAGGCCCATCTACTAATAGTGTTACTTCAGGGATTAGGCTTTCAGAAGAAAAATTTTGGAGGGCACAGAAATTCAGTTCATTGAAGGTGGACTCTTGCATCTAGAGTATGCTGGGTCACATCAGCACTTACAGGCAGTTATATGGAAGCTAAGGTCTTGGACAGGCACCAGCAAAAAACCAGAACTTGATACATGGCCAAATCTTTTCCTTACTTACCAAAGTAGAAGGTGAAAGCAGGTTTTTCCTGCCCACTCCTGTTGTGCTGGGCTATGTCATGTGCTAGTTTGCTATTCAGACCCCAGACATCTGTAGTGTATCAGGTAGTCAGTGCTCAGAGAGAGGCTAGACAGAAGCCAGAGCACTGGGCAGGCTACAGGAAAAACAGAGCATTGATATGAGGTTCTATTCTTCCTGTTCATCCACAGAGATGCCAAGGGATTTTGGTGAAAGAATATTTTGAACTCCCTTACCTATTTTGGTGTAGCTGGTTTCGTACTTGCCCTGGGTACAGATACCTCTCAGCTAGTTGCTGGATTTTCTGTAAAGGGAATTGGTTGGTATTTTGCTGTTGAATTAGTGTGTCTGTTGAGGAAGGAGTGTTTATAGCTTCCTATTCTGACATCTTGCTCATAAAGTAGCTTTTTAAATACAATTTTGGCATTCTGTTAATTAAATATATTTAATGATGGATTGGCTTTCTTCTGAGTAGTACATTCTAGTCTAACAGGAGTTTTCAGGAGGAAGGTAAATAACTGGCTATCAGAGAGGCTAGGGGACATGGAGCAAGAGAAACAGATTGGAACTAGGAACTATAGATGATGGGCTTTTCAGCTTGTCCTTGTCTTGACTTAGAGTGGACATGTGCACACATCTCTTTAATTCTCATGCCTTGCTTTCCTAATTTGTAAAATAAAGGCATTGGGATAGATGAACTTTGAGGTCCCTCCTGGCTTTAATGATTCCCTAGTGCAGAGAACATTCCTGTATCAGGATGTCATCTCCATAATTTGTTAAGGTGGGTATTGGAGGATTGTGGTTATGGGAGGAGATGTGGAGATAGATCTTAGTTTAATCTATCCATGGAGAATCAGCCAGTTGGGCAAGGCCTGGTGTCCAAGGAATATATCAATCTAAAGTGGTTTCCTCTGGCAAAGGAAAATCATAAAAATTGGAGGGTCCAGAGCAGATGAAACAGAGGAAGAGGAAGAGGGTGATCTAACAGGGCTGGAATTCTCTCGCTTCCTCAGAAAGTCTTGAGTCCAAAAGCAGAGACCAGGGTCTGGGGGATAGCAGAGCAGGCATTTTGAGGAAGAATTCTAGACACAAGACTAGCTATCTACACATGGCATGTGGGGTGGAAGATTTTGACTCCGGAAGATGTGCTTTTTCTGAAAAGAGGGGTATCATTTGGGAAGCTAGTCAAAAATCCAGTGGTTGACCTTCATGTTTTCTGAGTTATAATAGTATCCAGATGAGTCGGGAGTACAGACGGTAGCAGCAGGAGCAACTTCACAGAAAATGCCCTTAAATCATTCCAAGTGGTTTCACCAAGTCTAATAATGCAGACAATTTCCTTTAAGACTCTGCATAAAACCTAAAATAAATTTAATGTAACAATGTGAAAGTAACCATGTTTGTTAAATGTTAAAAACTGACCACAGAAATCATTGTTAGTGTCTGTGGTTAAATGTCTTTGTTCACTAATGCATTGGAGCTTAAGATACCATGGAGGCTGCAAAGACCACACACAGCCCACCCCTGTGGCTGGGAAACCCCTCTTGGCTGCGCAGTCATCACTGCTGTAAGCAGTGGTGGCCACTGGTCACTTCATTCTGGGAACGCTCTCTTCTCCTTCTCGTTCCTAAGATCCTTGTTCTTGAGATATTGGGTAATGACTTAGAAAAATATTTTCTTTCTTCAACTTCAAATTTGAACATAAGAAATTAAATTAAGATTTTTGCTACTTTAAAAGCCTGTAGCAATTGCATTATAATATTAGCCCTATAAAGCATAGTGATATGGTATCTTTGGAGTAGTTGCCTCAGTTTTTACAGCATAGTGATTTGTCTTTCAAGGTTTTAAAATATTTATGAGTTGATGTTTACTGTGTTCCACAGCAACAGTGTTTACAACATTTTGAAAAAGTGAAGGGATGGGCTTTTGGTGCAGTGGGCTTCTGTTTGGGATGGCCACATCCACTGTCAGAGCGCCTGGTTTGAAGTCCTAGTTCTGCTCCTGATTCCAGTTTCCTGCTCATACGTGCCCTAGGAGGCTGCAGGGGATGGCTCAAGTTGGCGGGGTCCCTGCTACCCACATGGGAAACTTGGACTGAGTTCCTGAATCCTGGACATTTGTGGAGTGAACCAGTGGATGGGATCTCCCACCTCCTCCTTTTCTGTATGCTTCTTGAATAAAAAAAAATAAAAAAAATAAAAAAAATTAAAAATTCAGTGTGCTGATTTCACCAAGTGGCACGTTATTTATATACAGTTTTTCCTTGCAATGTTCTTTTCGAGTTTTTTTTTGTTATTAATATTTTTTAAACGGCAGAGTGGACAGTGAGAGAGAGAGAGAGAGACAGAGAGAAAGGTCTTTCTTTGCCGTTGGTTCACCCTCCAATGGCTGCCGCGGCCAGCGTGCTGTGGCCGGCGCACCACGCTGATCCGATGGCAGGAGCCAGGTGCTTCTGGTCTCCCATGGGGTGCAGGGCCCAAGCACTTGGGCCATCCTCCACTGCACTCCCTGGCCACAGCAGAGAGCTGGCCTGGAAGAGGGGCAACCGGGACAGAATCCGGCGCCCCGACCGGGACTAGAACCCGGTGTGCCGGCGCCGCTAGGCGGAGGATTAGCCTAGTGAGCCACGGCGCCGGCCGCAATGTTTCTTAAATCTTAATCTTGAATGTTTTCCCATTTAACAGCAAGGATACTAAACTAGCCAGCTATCTTTATAGGCAAATTTTATGCACCTTTTTGCAAGTCCTGTTGCTTCAGGATAGAACTTGCAGCCTTCTGCAAGGCTGGACATCCATCCTCTTGTGTGACAGGTTACTAGAGTTTTCAAATAACATACTAGAATTAGAAAGAAAGTCTTCAGTAGATAAGCGGGGACATATTACAAGGTGTTTATGTAGAGAACAGGCACATTTTTCTGATT